AAACAATTAAACATCACAGATGGCTTACCTGGAGTCTCAAACAATAAACATCACAGATGGCTTACCTGGAGTCTCACACAATAAACATCACAGATGGCTTACCTGGAGTCTCATACAATAAACATCACAGATGGCTTACCTGGAGTCACTCTTAAACAATAAACATCACAAATGCTATAAACTTGGATTTCACAAACATTCTATACCATATGCCTTGATAGTTTGACTGTGCATATAGAGATTAATCAACATACATGTAGCTTTGAATTGCTACCATATGCATAATAATTACATGATATACATTACCTTGCTTGTTGTGGTATCAACTGAAGTCCAGTCAAGGCAGGCACACCAGTGAGTGTCCACACCAGCATCATGGCAAGAACGATCAGCTGAAATTTCTTTGAAAAGACTGATTGCTTTAGTGTCTGTATTGTTAACAGAGTAGTTCAAAACATCTTTCAGCATGGCATGCCAGTCAAATGGTGTTGTGAGTCGATTAGAATTATCTTTTAAATTTATGTATAGTTCAGGATGTGATTGGCGAATGGCTTTAGGAACAAATACTGACATAAATGTGAGTCTTTCTTCCAATCTTCCTTGTAGAGTAGCACGAATGGTTGTGTAGCGGGCACCATGGTCACCAAACATTACGAACAATGTGTTATCAAAATGATGTGTACTGTACATTTCAGTCAAATAGTTATACAAGTCATTATCAGCCAAGTGTATCATGTTCATATTACCATGTGTTAGCTCTGTCAAAAACATAAAACCAAATTTGCGAATATTTTTATACTTGACTTGGAATTCTTTTAAATAATCAAACATGACTTTGTGTTGTAGTTTAGCACCATCACACAATTTAGGCCGGCTAATACTGTTATAGTCTGGAGTTGACCTTACTGAGGTCAACCAATAAGGACGCATATAATGGTCAGTAGGCTGCTTATCAAAACCAACATATTGTCTATTAAAGGCACCAAGAAATGGTGAATCCTCTGCAAACATTGTAACATAGCCTTGTTCTTTAAATTGCTTCCATATGAAAGGATAACTATCTACAAACCCTGCATCATCCACATTTCTTCTTGCTTCAGGAAGGTTCTCTGCAAGATGTCCTGTCAACATTGGAATCAGAGCAGCTGCCGTGGCATCACCAACAATATTATAGCCATTAAGTACAACAGATTGCATTGTTTCAGTCAAATACTTGTAGGATTTTGGCATTTGTCGAATAAAGTTCATATGTGATGTTGAATCAAATCCTAGAACAATGACATCCAGACCCAAAGCTGATTTTGGTAGAGTTTTGTCAGTGACGCCGGGTATTGGAGAAATATGGGCATGCATATCAAAAAGCCAACTATCATCATACTCTTCATCATTGTCACAACTAACATAAAGAAAGTCAGACTCAATATTGTCTGTCAGCAAAACGTCTTTTTTATGATCAACTTTTTCATCAAGCGCAATGACCTCAGACTCTGTGAATGAACAGACTTCATCAGATTCCCGCAGAATGTATGAATAACTACAGAATGAAGGTCTGGGTGTAGGTAAACTCGAAAGGTTTAAAAAAAGTTTTCTACCAGTCTCATCAACATATGAAAGATCCGGGTGGCCATTCTTCTTTTCACAATTTATTGGTTCTTTATTTTCCATTAGATGCACAATGCTGGTATGAAATGGTTCTAGAACAGGAATTTGACAGGGAGACTCTTTGTAATCATCAAGATCTAATTCAGAAGCATTAGTCTCAACATCAAATATACTGTTTGAGCTGTCTTCATATTCACTGCTCTCCTCCTCCTCACTCTCAATAACATAATTCTTTATATCATGGTCACCTTTTGACACATTAGTTTTCACTGCTGTCTCCTCACTCTCAATAACATAATTCTTTATATCATGGTCACCTTTTGACACATTAGTTTTCACTGCTGTCTCGAGTTGATAATTTTTTGATCTGTTCTTTTCTTTTGTGCCATTTTTTAGTCTTTTCCTGTTAGTTTTAGAAATGGTCGTTTCATTATGCTTTACATGTGTTTTAGCTTCAGGAGATGTTCTTGACTGTGCAGATGCTTTTGAATGAATTATAGAAAATGTGATATTTGATGTTGATTTATTGAGTTGACCTCCAAGTGTATTTTGAAGAACTCTTACAATGATATTATCTGAACCACCGCATATACATGGTGGTTGCATACATTGACAGTCATGTGTCTTTCGCAATATTTGTTTCATACCATACAAGTTGAAAATAAACAGCAGCAATGCCACACATAGTATGACAACAAATATCTGCTTCAGTGGCTTGCATGTTTTCATGGTCATCCTATTCTGCACCTGCAGGACATACAAAGTAAGGAGAATTAGAAATGATCAGCAAATTTTACTCCAGCCTGTAGCCAATTAGAACACAGTTCATAAAACATTGTCAGTGAAATGATGAACCTAAGGTTACAACAAGTTATGCCATTTCAAAAGCTGTGTGCTGATTGGTCAGACAAAATTCTCCTCACTACTACAGATCAGTCTGGGCATAACTTAACATTTAAACTAGCTTTTAGCTTAGCTGATTTCAAATCACATATATGTACAGTACAGT